TTGGTTGCAGCCGTCATTGTTGTTTGGTGGGTCCGGGCTGGGGATTCGAACCCGCCACCTTAGGTGTACATGGCTGGCGCCTTAGCCAGTTGAGCTATAGGCGCCGAGCCTCTTCTGTCATATTTACACAGAATAACCCTGGTGTAATGAGGAAGGAGGCTGCACAAAAGTTACTGTTCAGAGGCCAGGTGATTGGGGACTCACTTGAAGGCTGGCTTCCATAGCTTAGTACTTTTGTTGTCTATTTTTATGTTGCATGTATTAAACTTAAAACTGTACACTGATGCCACATAAGATAACACTAAAAATCGTATTGTTATGATCGGTGTAGATTCCTTTCCAACCCTTGCCTTCTGCACAGCTTTTTCAAGAGGGTTGATTTTCTTTTTAAGAACGCTTATGAGTATAAAGCTATACATATTCTAATCCACAAGCTATAACATCTAAGTCAGTGTTGCATTTGATAGGAATGGGTTCATAAAGCTCCTGGATTACCTGCAAATCTAGGATGTCACATTGAATTTGCTTTTTTCTATGTTTGAAGTTAATATATGATCTATGTACTGTACTGTACTACAATAAGAAAAACCTGGAAAATAGAACAAAGAAAATATTTTTACTCCCACCATACTATGACAGCCATCATGACATTTAAGAGCATTTCTGGGCTTTCTGTTTCAAGAGCTCGTTTTTACACACTGGTTATCCAGACACGTGTTGCTGCCTGGCCTTCTCGACTTCTTAAACCCTTACAAGGTGTGCTTCATGTTCGGGTTGCTGTCATTCACATGCTGCTAGGAAGATGTGGGTGTGGGGTGTGGGGAGGAGGCTGGAAAACAGAAGCCTCTGGAACAGACTTTGACTCATCAGCAGCCTTCTCCCTTAAAAGGCAAAAGATTCATCCCCCTGACCACAGGTCTGGGGGTGGAGGCACATTCTCTGCAGGTATGGAGGCCCCTGACTTGTAAACCAGAGCTCACAGATGGGGCCTACATCCGATCTAATGAGACTGCAGAGTACAGTGGGTGGGCTGTGGGGACAGGCAGTGGAGGACACTGCTAAAGTGGGCAGTGAGCAAGCAGGGCTCTGGCGAGGAGTTCCTGCTCTGCTGTCTGTACCAGAGACTATCAGATGAGCCCCACACATCATGTTTGTCTGCGTGGTCAGAAATTAGGCCACAATTACCAATGTGCTTAGAAATCTTCTGCAGGATTCTCCAAAGCACATTAGAAGCAGACATTGCTTCTGCCCCTAATTGCTGCTTTCCAGCCTGATCTCTGCCCCTGCCCCCACCTCATTCACCAGATTTGGCTCCAAATGGCTTGAGTGATTATAAAACAAGCCTGCCAGCAAGGCTCTGTGTGCTGGAGGAAGTCGCTCATCCACCCTCTTCCACTGTCTGCCCAGAGACATCCATGCCACAGTCTGGGCAGGTGACTGCTTTGTACAACCAGGGCTCATGTGGGTTTACCCCAGGGGTCTGTATTATAGACAGATGGCACTGTGGTCACTGCCCACACTGTGGTTACAAGGAAAGTGGCAGTGTTGTCTCTGGCATCACCAGCTAGGCGCTCACCCTGGCAGGGGTGTTCTTTGCTTCCTCAGCAGCTGCCCACAGGAATCCTCACTATCACAGGTGCGGATTGTACCTTGTTCTTAGTGTGGGGTAAGATGTGAGAGTGGGGAGCTGCAACTCTGTGAGCACCTGGCAGAGTTAGACCGATCTTGAACCCACATGGCCCTCTCTGCAGAATAGGGGGGTGCACATAGGCAGCGCTGCAGGGAACATGAACTCCAAGGCCTATGGGAGCGAGGACCAGGCAGTGGAGATGGTGTAGGAGAAAGAGACTTATGTACCTGTCAGCTATTTAAAAGTAATGTCAGGTTTAACTTTTCCTGTATAATTTTTTGACATTTAGGTTATGTTGGGAGATAATAAAGTACAAACAATTTGTGGTTGGTTTATATATGGTAACAAAAGTTTCTGACCGTTGCTCCCTGTAGTTGTATCTGTACAAGGAAGTAAGGTCCAGAACTGATCTTTAGCTGGGCTAGAAGGTTCTGCTCCTCCCATGCTTATTCCCCCTTTTTTGTAGAGAGGTTTGAGGACCAGATTATCTGGGTACATACTCTGGCTCTCCACTTCACGCTGCCCAGCAGGACACAGCTCTAGTGCGGAGTTCTCAGCGGTTATCTGTAAGAACTAGTAACCACCCCTGAACTGTTTACTCTTCTCCCCACAGGATGGGAAGGTGATTGTGTGGGACTCCTTCACTACCAACAAGGTGAGGCGTCTGGTTTCTAAAGGTGCTCTGACCCCGTTGCCCGGCCCTATCCCGATTCCCCTCCACACACCCCTGTAAGTGGTTGCCCGGCTTCTTAGGAAGGGAAGCCCAAGAAAGCCCACCCAAGTTGAGTGGCTTAGCTAGCCCACCACAGTGTTCATTCCTCTCTCCCCCTCTGACAAGGGCAGGCGGGGCCCCTGTAGAGGGTGCTGGACTTGAAGCTGGAAGCACGTCATGTTCACATGCTTAATTGCGTGCCTTATTTTTCTTCCAAATGATGATAAGTGCCAAAGTTCTCAGCTCTCTCTCCCTTCTCTGTCTTTGACTAGACTCCAGAGCACGTGGTAGGTGGAGAAGAGGAGGCTAAGTGGGGTTGAACTGAAATGTGCCTCAGTGCCCCTGTGAGTCTGACCTGGGCACACACGGCTCAAGCTAGATCTACATGTAGAGTCTTAACTCAAGATGAAGGCCAAAGCCTCCCTGTAGGTGCACCTGCGTGCCTGCAGTGCATTGCCGTTTACAGTACAGGTGTGCTAGATACGGATTTCAGTATTTATTTAGTCTTCCTTTTCACCACACACACACAAAAAATGAGCTGTGTAGCTATCTCAGAGGGAACAGCACCCACACTGTGCATTGATGAATGTGTTTAAAAAGTGTCATGGGAGGCAGCTGCTATGCCACCTGGTCAGGTGAGGGGCCAGAACCATTTTACAGAGTCGAGTCCCTGATAGGCCTGTAGGGAATAATAAAAATAACAGTGGGCACAGGGCTTTCCACCTGCTTCCCTGAAGCCTCTGCCGCTCCCAGAACACCTCAGTGTCTCCTGGATGTGTGAGGCACTTGCTTCTGTTTATACCCCGATGTGGCCTAGAGCACAGGGAGCTGGGGGTTGCTGCTTGTGCCCGTCACAGGAAATGCAGCCATTCTTTGTGAGCAGAGCGGCTCAAGATGTCCTGCTCTGAGAGTGGCTACTTCAGCTCATTCTCTAGAGGGCAGTAGATTATTCTTAGCATCTGAAAGGCTGCAGACTGTGCATGACAACAGAATTTTGGAAGGTGGTATTGGGTTTGTTACATTGTTACAATGTTGTTGAAACATTCCCTGTGTTTCTATGAGGAGACATAACAGAAAAGAAGAGCCCCTTTGAATGTACATTGGAAATCACCTAGTCCCAAGCCCCTGCTCCACAGATGGAGAAGGAGGGCCAGGTAGGACAGGTGGCCCCCGCTGGCATGGGGTCCGCAGCTTGCTGGTGTCGGAACCAGGGCTGGGATCCATGTCTCCCGTGGAAATAAGACCACAGACTCAGACGTTTTCAACTGTGGCTTTTGTCATTTGCTTATCAGCATGCAGGCAGATGTGGGTGACTCAGCCACCAGCAGGAAGCCAGGGACTGGTCCACTCAGTTCTTAATCCTTCCAGTTCACAGGCTCTGTTCTATCCATGAGCACTATCCAGGACCCCTCTCCCTCCTCCACCCCCATTCATGCCTTCCCAGAAATGGGTTAGGACCTGTAGCAGACAGAGGCTGCTATATCTTGTATCCTCACAGGTAAACAAATGTACACATATAAAAAGTCATTCCAAATTATATTTTGAAAATGAAACTCAGAAAATACAAGGTAAAGTATATATATTTAAAATGAAATTGGAATAGATCTTTCAAAGAAAAAGAATTCCAATCCTCAGGCAGATGAACAAAGGGAGTATAACATTAAGAAAGAAGTAGACAGATGGGGTGGCTCCCGCCTGTAATCCTAGCTTTTTAGGAGACTGAGGCAGGAGGATCACTTGAGGTCAGCTGTTTGAGGCCAGTCTGGGCAACAGAGCAAGACCCCAACTCTACAAAAACTAGAAAAATTATCTGGGTAGGGTGGCATGCACCTATAGTCCCAGTTACTCAGGAGGCTAAGGCAGGAGGATTGCTTAAGCCCAGAAGCTGAAGACTGCAGTGAACTGTGACACCATTGCATTTCAGCCTCAATAAATAAATAAATAAAATATGCTAGTGGAGGTTTTTTGTTTGTTTGTTTTTTGAGGCAGAGTCTCGTTCTCTTGTTCAGCCTAAACTGCCTAGCTCACAGCAACCTCAAAACTCCTGGACTCAAGCAATACTCCTGCTTCAGCCTCCTGAGTAGCTGGGACTAGAGGTGCTTCTCCAGCAACCCTTGGCTAATTTTTAAATGTTTAATAGAGACAGGGTCTTGCTGTTGGTCAGGCTGGTCTGGAATTCATGAGCTTAGGCGATCTGCCTGCCTTGGATTCCCAGAGTGCTAGGATCATAGGCGTGAGCCACTGTGCTCAGCATCTAGTTGAGATTTTTAACTTACATAGAATAGGACATGAAGTTTGCTTGATGGGATTATGAGGAGGCTGAGTCCCCTTATCAGTCTCAAGCCAATCTTTATCCCACACCACTTCCCTTTGAAGCTATAATATAATTCAATAGGAACTGTGGTGATTTTATTTTGTAAAAATTAAATGTTAATAGCGAAGCATAGTGACTCATATCTATAATCCCAGCAACTCAGGAGGCTGAGGCAAGAGGATCTCTTGAACCCTGGAGTTGAAAGCCAATCTGGGCAGCATAGTATGACCCCATTTCTAAAAGAAAAAAACAAATGTTTAAAAAAGAAAGTCTAATGCTAAGACCTGTGTAGAGGTACCTGTCACCTAATCTGTGAATCTAATGCTAAGACCTTGTGTAGAGTTACCTGTCACCTAATCTGTGAATCTAATGCTAAGACCTTGTGTAGCGGTACCTGTCACCTAATCTGTGAATCTAATGCTAAGACCTTGTGTAGAGGTACCTGTCACCTAATCTGTGAATCTAATGCTAAGACCTTGTGTAGAGGTACCTGTCACCTAATGTGTGAACGGTACGTGCTTTGTTTCAGGAGCACGCGGTCACTATGCCCTGCACGTGGGTGATGGCGTGTGCGTACGCACCGTCAGGATGTGCCATCGCTTGTGGGTAAGTGGCAGCTACAACAGCATTTCAGATTTCCTGTTAGCCATAAAATACTGTTCTATTGGCAAAGACAGGCAGATAAGCAGAAACTTGTGATGTTATGGAAGTTTTGTTAATTTTCTTATATATAATGATGTAGAGGCTGTATAGGAGAATATTCTGATTTCAGGACATGTGAATTTGCATGTTGAAAGTAAAATGTCGTGTCTGCATTTGACTTTACAGTCAACATGTTACATCTGTGAAAGTAGGTGAAGGGATCTAGGTGTCCGTTGTACTCTTTGTCTTTCAACGTTATGAAATAGGTTTCAAAGTCTTCAAAGTAAAAGTTGGAGAAAAGGTTACAATCTAGGAGACTGCCAAACAAAACAAATTTTATTTATAACATAATTTTTATGTTAACTTTTGATAACGTCTTTCTTCCCGTGCAAGTGGTTTAGATAATAAGTGTTCTGTGTATCCACTGACATTTGACAAGAATGAAAACATGGCTGCCAAGAAGAAGTCTGTTGCCATGCACACCAACTACCTGTCGGCCTGCAGCTTCACCAACTCCGACATGCAGGTCAGTGAGCAGCCGGGGTTGGGTCAGCCTGCTGGAGAGCATGAAAGAGGAGTGTCAGGAAAGGAAGCTTTGTGTTCCCCAACAGTTTTTTTCTATTGTTTCTCATTGGTTATTATTACTATTTTAATAAAATCAGAAATGGGAAAATTGGGACTCCTGATTGTTGATAGGCCATATTGAAAAACTCTCCTCCAGTTGAATTAGTGGGAGTGGGAACAGAGCAGGGAACCTTCTGGGGGTGGAAATTACTGTGTCCTAAGCGGCAGCGCTTCAGAGTTGCACGCTTCACACATCTCACTGTATGTACTTTCCAGTTCTGTTTTAACAAATGCAAAAAGAAAATGCTTCAGGTGTGTGGGTTCTACTTGGAATAAACCCCAGGGGAAACAATACAACTTTATAACACTTTGACTAAGTTTACTTTAGCAAGTTGGGAAAGCATTCCATAGTTTTTCTTTTGTTTTTTGTGACAGTTTCATTCTGTCTCCCTGGGTTGCTGTGGCATCATAGCTCACAGCAACCTCAAACTCTTGGGCTTGAACAGTCCTCTTGCTCAGTCTCTGGAGTAGCTGGGACTACAGGCGTGCACCACCACGTTCAGCTAGTTTTTCTGTGTTAGTAGAAATGGGGTCTCGCTCTTGCTCAGGCTGGTCTTGAACTCTTGAACTCAAGCAGTCCACCCACCTTGGTCTCCTAGAGTACTAGGAATATAGGCATGAGCCACCATGTCTGACCCCTAGTTTTTCTTATTCACATCTGTTCAGCAAACCTCAGCACCTACCACGCACACTGCCAGATGCCCCCTGGGGCTGGGGCTGCAAGCCCATCTTTGTCCACAAGGACCTTCACCAAATCCTGTGATGATTGGACAGTGGGGATAGCTGGGGAGCTCTGAGTGGGAGAGGGGAGGGGGTGTCACAAAACTTAAGTGCTGTCAATGAAGAGGAGGAAGCTACAGTGTGAGGGAGAGGTGGGCAGGGAGCTCTGAATACCTGGGCCAGACCTTGTAGGCAGCAGGAGCCATTGCAGGGCTGAGTCAGATTTGTTTGTTTGTTTGATGAGTCAGGTTTGTTTTAAGGAGCTCACTGATGTCAGGAGGAGAGGAGAGACTGGAGGCCAGGTGGCTGGGTAATTGTTCAGTCACCGACAGCAGGGATGTTGAGGCTGAGTGCCCCCAGTTTGCACCTGTTCTTTGAGCCCACCCAGGAGTCTTGCAGACCTGTTCAGGAAGGGGTGCTGTGGCACAACCAGACATCCTTGGGCCTGAGGGGCAGCCAAAGCACCAAAGGGCATTCGGTCTGGATAAAGGGAGCCTCCAAAGTGTGCAGAAACAGTAGGTGGTCAGCCATGTGAAGTCCTTCCAGTAGAGAACCATCCACCTGGCCGTAGGTGTGGGGCAGAGGGTGAGAAAGGACTTGCTGTCTAATGAGCAGCTGGCCCTCCACAGGGGCAGCCTGGGAGGCAGAGCAGGGTGAAGGTCAGACTGCAACATCAGGTGCTGGCTCCTCTGATCCCGCCGGTGATCCGAAACAAGGTTTGGATTCGTGTGCTTCCCTGTCCTCGCCTGGAGATGAGGGTAGTAAAACATCCTCCCACACAAGGTTTCCTGAGGACTAAATGAGGTAATTGATGTAAAGTAGTACAGTCGCTGGTAAACGTTAATAAATGAATGTTAGCTCTTTGATTTTATTATTAATATTAACACAAAGCTTCAAGGATAAATCAGGCGCACCGCCTGGTTTGGGTACTGCTGAACCTCACGGTTTCTTCCAGTCCTAGAAGCTGGATGATAAAAGCAGACGGCTAGTAGGAGACTTTGCTACTGAACCACCAGTTTCCTGCATTCCAGGACAAATGAGTGACAACGTGCTAGGGGTTCTGTTTATTGCATTTCTCTGAATAAATGTTTGGTCTTTAAAATTTAATTTTACCTACCCTAGCGTGGAAGATCATAAAGATATAAAAGAATAAAGTCTTTGTTAGGAATTTACTTTTTAACTTTTAAAGTTTCTTCCTTTCTTTGATGGAAGAGTATGGGATGAAAATTTCCCAGCCTTAAAGAGAAAGACTGGGGTCGTCCTTTAAAGCGGATTGCTTGGACCTGATGTCACAAAAAGACTGTAAATTAGGGACCCTTTGTTAGGACAGGAAGGAGCACCCAGCAGTGACAGGGCCCAGTGGCGAGTGAGGGATTACAGCACATTACAAAACACGGCCCCAAAGGAAGACTCAGTTTAAGTCTTGTGTGTTCATGAGCTGCCTTTAGCAGCCCAAGCCATGTTGGGTGTATATAGGCTTGAGGGACAGCGAGGCTGAAGGAATTCCACAGATAGCCGGCAGAGGCAGTGCCAGGACAGAGCAGATTCCCTGCCTGGTAATCTATTCCCTCCTTCCAGGATAAAAGAGGAGACTCTGTGTGTGTGAAGAGGGGAGGAGAAGGGGCAGGGAGGGAAAGCAGGAGGGCTCTTCGCCAGTACCTGGAGGTGTGCTGTGGCCGGTGGGAGCACTGGGTGCTGGCAGCCTAAGGCCTGGCTCCTGTTTTATTTCCTCAGCCATCAGTAGTTGCCACCTACAGATGGCTTTCTGTCCTGGACACTTACACTGCAAGTGCCACTTCCTCATAACCTCATCACCTCCCCCAGGCCCTGCAGGGCAGCAGGAAGGTGGGGAGTAGGGAAGCCTTGCTGTCCAGGCCCCTACTCCGGATCTCCGGATCTCCGCCCCTGCTGCTCAGTACGAGCTGGCTGCAGGGCTCTGTGATGCAGTTTGTAGGCCCTGGACCTGAATCCCCACTGCCCTACTCCCAGCCCCAGGAGGGCTTGCTCAGCCAGAACCCACACCTACACTCACTAGCAGTGACAGAAATTCAAACTCCAGCTCTGCCCCGTACCTTTCCCCAGACACCCCTGTGTACCTCTACCCCTGCCGGCCATCTGTTGTACAGAGGCTCAAGAGTTTCCTACTAAAATACACTTTTTTTTTTTTTGAGACAGTCTCAAGCTATCCCCCTGGGTAGAGTGCTGTGGCATCACAGCTCACAGCAACCTCCAACTCCTGGGCTCAAGCAAGTCTCCTGCCTCAGCCTCCCAAGTAGCTGGGACCACAGGCACCCACCACAACGCCCGGCTATTTTTTGGTTGCAGCCGTCATTGTTGTTTGGCAGGCCCAGGCTGGATTCGAACCCGCCACCTTAGGTGTATGTGGCTGGCACCTTAGCCACTTGAGCCACAGGCACCAAGCCTAAAATACACTTTTGTTCTTCTCAGTCTTGTGTACAAAAGCTTCCATAGCTCCCTCTTGCCTTTAGGCAGAGTTCCCACCCTGTGAAGGGCTCACCCTGCATTCAGTGCAGACCACACTTTCTCCTGGAGTGCCCACCCTTTCCTTCCCTTTACCTGGTGGCTCTCACTCATCCTGGAAGACCAGCTCAGATACTGCCACACTGGGTTTGGGGCCCCTTCCATTCGCTTAGCAGGATCCCAGCACTTCTCACGCTGTCCCAGTTGATCCTTTTCTGCAGATGTCAACTCCCCAAGTGACCATCAGAAAAACTTTCAGTCGAGCAAAGCTAAGTTATTAGCTCTCCACAGTGAAGGAGACCCTCAGCTTGGCAGAATCTTAGTAGCGTCTCACGATGGAGGGATTTAGGAAGGGTATTTGTGGATTTCATGGTCTAGGTTGGATGATTTTAAGGTGGGTTTTGCAAGGTAGGCAGGAAACAGGTTTATGACCCCATAGTTTTGGATTGGTGAACCAGTGTGCTAAGGGTCTTGATGAGACCCTGGGCGAGCAAGCTGTTAGTCTGGATTAGCAAGTTGTGGAGTAGGTTTGCGGTCTTTTCTTCCAGGAGCCAGTATTTCTGCAGCAGGCAGCTAGGTTATTTTTACTTGGTCTCAGTATTATTTAACATAGTAACAGGAAAGTTTGCCAGGCCCAAGAATTCTTTAACACAGCAACAGGGGATTACATAAAAACTTAGGTTGGTTTCATGTTGGTTTTGTTCTTACTGTCAATCCTGTTAAGTAGAGTTCCAGGACAACAGAGACCGAGACACAAACTTTCTGCAAACCCTAAGCCTTAGCAGAGTGCCTGCACTCGGTCAGCACAGAGCAAACGTGTGTTGAATCTGCACATGGCATGAGTGTCCTCCAGCACCCATCAGTGGCCCTGGGGAGCCTCTGGGCAGCGCCCATCAGTGGCCCACCCTGCTCTGGGGAGGAGCAATAGGAAAATGTACCTAGTATGCTGCTCAGACCCCTGATGCTCCAAGTGTGGTCCCAGACCAGCATCAGCATCAGACTCTCAGCCTCCCCGCTGTGGGCTCTTTGTACTGCGAGCTGCTGAGGCTCTCTGTGCAGACACCCAAAGAGCACTCACTACGGGCTAGGCAGGTGCAGAGTCCTGTGGCCAGGACACCATCGAGATGTCCATGGTGAGGATGCCAGGATTCCAGCTCTGGAGGGAGACATATAAACACTACTCAAGGACTGAGAGAGTGTTGAAAAGATACTTTGGCCTGGGTGCAGTGGCTCGCACCTGTAATTCTGGCACTGTGAGAGGCCGAGGCAGGTAGATCACTTGAGCTCAGAAATTTGAGACCAGCTTCAGCAAGTGCAAGACCCCGTCTTTACTAAAAATAGAAAAACTAGCCAATGTCTTGGAGGGCTCCTGCAGTCCCGGCTACTTGGGAGGCTGAGGCAAGAGGATTGGGCTCAAACCTGAGCCCAAGAGTTTCAGGTTGCTGTGAGCTATGATGCCACACCACTCAACCGTGGGAAACAGAGTGAGACTTTGTCTCCAAAAAAAAAAAATAAACTCTTTTGTCTTCCTGGTAAAAGAGAAATATTTCTGTGCTTGAATCCAGATACAGTGAGATGTGTGTCCACGTGTGTGTTTAAGGAGCCAGCTTCTCCCTGTGGAACATTAAGTTGACCAGAGCATTGACTCCCCCAAACAGAAGCAATAACCACACCCACCCTCTTCCTGTCCTTTTCTGTGGGCAGATCCTGACAGCAAGTGGGGACGGCACGTGCGCCCTGTGGGATGTGGAAAGCGGACAGCTGCTGCAGAGCTTCCACGGCCATGGGGCTGACGTCCTGTGCTTGGACCTGGCCCCCTCAGAAACCGGAAACACCTTCGTGTCTGGGGTAAAGACCCAAGGAACAGCTCTAGGGCTCCTTTGTCCACTAGGGGGGCCTATGGTAGCAGTTCTTGTCCATTCATAGGACTAGATGGGACATTTCCCTAGAAGGGGTACAGGATTGTCCTTGCTCCCCACCACACCCCCTGCAGAGTGGCTGTGCTGGCTCCACGCCTCGAATGGGTGTTTGGTGGGTAGTTTACAGGGCTGGGCTGTGGCGGCCTCCTTCTTTTCTATAACTGACATTCTGCAGTCTACAGAGGGATCTAGAATGTTCTCCCTGTGAATGCTACAACTCAAGGTGCATATCCGCCACCTGTTAAAATGTCACTCCATGAATAAATAGCATAGAGTTAGCACCTGAGGGGGTCAGAGGTGAGCCAGAGGGTCAGATGGCTGCTGAGCTGAGGCAACACTGATGTGACCAGAGCTTTCTCCCTCCCCACCCCTGTTGACTGCCGTCCTCCTTCCCACCCCATGGCACAAAGAACAGAGTACGTGAAACCTCACTGGGCAGTAGTGGACACAGTGGAGACACAGCACCCAGGTTGGAGGTTTGCTCCCTGAGTAAATGTCATCCACAGTCTGGGCGCAATGCACAGTAGCACTCACACACCCAGGACATTCCAGACAGCAGAGAGAAGAGCTTCTAGTGTGTTGTGCCAGTAGGAGGTGTGAGCATTTCCGTGGACAGCCAGGAATGAGAACAGAGGACTGAGCTGGCTGACCAACCCCCAGGTCCTGCCTCACCTCGGTCAGGAGACAGTGGTAGGATAGGACAGTGACACAACAGTGTCAAATGACTTGCTGCTATGAGACATGAGGCCCTCTGCTCCAAGCTGCTCACGCCTCAGTCCTAGGAGTCAGGCTGGGGCTGTGTGACCTCTAATTGACAGGGACCCTGGTTTTTTCTGGAGTATTTGGCTGTCTGTATGTGTTTCATCCCTGTGTATTATTTCTCCTCAACTGGACTGTGTGTTTTTTAATTATTGATAGTATCCTAGATTTTATTGTCTCCCAGAGCACTAAGCTTCATCCAATTTAATGTCCTCTAAAGATCTGAAGATGCTCCTAACCTCTCTACCTGCATCTCAGCAAAGACACTGAGTGCTGAAGCCCCATGGCAGGTCCTTGCAGGTGCCACTTCATCCCACCCCTGGCTTTGAGTTGGAACCAACAATGTGGACACCAGTTTTAAGCCATTACTTTCTGACTTTTGAAGCCAGTGCACTTGACTATTGAGAGTCTGTGTTACATGCCTGAGCTTGGTGACAGGAATTCATCAAAATGCTCTCAGAACCTCTATAGTATAATTTGAAAAAACCTCAATTTATGATTCTCTGGGCTGTGTTAGCAACCCGAAGGGAGTGTTTACTTTTTAGGTGTTGAGGCAAGCCCCAGGTTTGCCCCTTGCCCACCTGGCGTGCTGCTGAGGGTGGAAGGGGCCCAGTGCACCTGGTGGTCCACCATTGCTGAGGGTTGCCCCATGCACCTCAGACAAAGCCAGGACACTTGGCTGCTCAGACTTGGGACCACCAGCCTGTTATTAGTGTCCAAGCCAGAGAGGTCCCACTGTGCACTAGCATCTGCCAGCCTTGCCCTCCAGACCTCGGAAGACAGGAGTAAAGAGAGAAAGAAAGGGAAAAAGAAGAGAAGGGCAGTGCCCCGGGACAGGGGAGGAGGGACTCTGGAGGGTCTGCCTCCACTCAGAAATGTGCCAACAAGGAAAACAGGCTGAAGGGAGCAGCTGAGCACCTTCCCTTGCTCCCTCTCATCCCAGGACCTAGTTCTGGGCTTCTAAGGGTCCACTGGCAAAGGAAAGGGGCCTTCATTTAGTAAAGTAGTCTCAGAAAGGTGTGTTGTCAGCCATTTGCTAACAAGAAATAAAGGCTCTCTGTTGAATAACTGGGACTCATACCTTGTCTAGAGACATTCCTTGCAGCAGCCATAACTCTGGGCCATTTATATTTGCAGGGATGTGACAAGAAAGCCATGGTTTGGGACATGCGCTCCGGCCAGTGTGTGCAGGCCTTTGAAACACACGAATCTGACATCAACAGTGTCAGGTCAGTGAGTAACACGCACATGTTACTTCCCTGCTGTGGGGCATTACCTGGCCTGGGGCAGCGCTTAGCCCAGGATCCACCTCCTGTGCTTAGTGAGGCCTCCCCTGCAGATGGGCTGATTTGTGATAGAAGTAAACAATGCTCCAGATCTGGTGGGGGAATTTTAATCTAATTGCACTAGGGACAGTTGATACCCTCCCTAAATTGAATTAGTATTTCTCGTCCATTCATTCAATATATTCATTAGTGAGCACATATGTGCTAAATATTGTTATGGGAACTGGGAAGACAGTGATGAACAAGACAGACAAGATCTCTACTCACCTAGAGAAGAAATACTATGCAAAACACAATATAAATTTCATTTGATACTGATAAGCACTATGAAAATAGTGTGATGGGATAGGTTATTTCTTAAACAGAGGTCAAGGATGGTCGCTCAGAGAAGGTGACATTTAAATTGAGAACAGGATGATGAAAGAGCCAGGCTTGCACAGAGTTGGGAGGAGAACACAGCTGGCCACTAGAGAGTTTTGAGTTGTGGGGGTGACTAACATGATCATGTTTTGCCTTTAAAAAAATCACTCTGGCTGTATCAAGAATAGATTCTAAGGGAGCAAGAATGGAAGTCCTGGCAGCCAATTAGAAGGTTGTCATATGAGTTCAAGAAGAAATGATGTTGGCTGGAACTAAAGAAGACACAGTAGAGACAGAAATGTCAAGAACTATGAAGGGTCTGATATTTTACCTACCTGAAGTTAACAAGTTAGGCTGCCACAGCTCAGAGATGCTGCAAGAAGTCGTGAAACTTCTGGGTCAGAAATAAAGAACGGTTTATTACACATGGCAATGGCAATAGCCAGAGTATTCGCATGTTTGTGCATGTTACTTGAGCCCTAATTCCACATGAAAAGGGCCAAGTGACACCTGCAAATGAAAAAGGATATATTGTGAGGGAAGAACCCTGAGCTTCGGGAACACAAATCTTTTATCAGGGGCAGTAAGCAGTGGCCCATTTACTAAGACAGAGAAGACTAGAGGAAGTGCAGGATGGAGGTAATTTTTTGCACATGAATTCAGGAGTTTGGAGAACTAGTTAAGTTTGAGATGACTATTATATATCCCAGCAGGCATGTCAAGGAGGCAGTAGGATCTATGAATTGGATCCAAGAAAGAGGTCAGGACTTGGCTTGTATGGAAGATGGCACTTGGAGACCAGATATAAAGTATCTTCATTATACTTAGAATCCCCAAGAATCTTCATTATATTTAGTGAGAAGACACTTGTTCCTCTTAAAGCAACAACAAAATAAGAACACTTATTTAATTTAGTAACCCCTGCCCTCAAATATGGGATAAGGAAAAAGACCATCACTTTTCTAAATGTGCAGTAACTACCTAGAAAAAACAAAGGAGTTCAATTTGGAAATTACTAAGGATGATAAATTAGCAAGATGGAAGATAAGGCCACAAAAATCAAATTTCAGTCCCTATATGTCAGTAAAGCACACAGTTGTGTCTTACTTATCTGTGTCTTATCTGTGAGGGGGATGGACCTCCTGCAGATACCAAAATCTGTGGATGCTCAAGTCCTTGATTTAAAATGCTGCAGTATTGGCATATAACCTCTGCACATCCTCCTGTGTACTTTAAATCACCTCTAGATTACCTATAATACCTAATACAGTGCAAATGCTATGTAAATAGTTGTTATACTGCCTTGTTTTTTGGAATAATGACAAGGAAAAAAGTCTGTACATATTCAGTACAGATGCAACAATCCATTTTTTAAAAATATTTTTGATGTTTTGATAAAAATATTTTGATAGATGCACAACCTGTGGATGTGAAGGACAGATACACAGCTTTAAAATGTACATTCTCTCACCCATGCTGTTCCATCTACCCCAACCCTCTTCCTTTGATCAGGTCTAAACTTAGACTTTTCTCTCTCCAGGAAGCCCCTCAGTCCCCAGTGCTGAGGTGGGTGCCCTCCTATGTAAGAGGGACCACTGCATGGCCAGTTTACTCATCCTCCTCCACTCAGGAAGTTTCTCCATAGGAAAATAAAACCTGTGAGCTCGGCCATATACACCAAGACTGGTGGGTTAAGCCCAGCCTGGGCCTGCTAAACAACAATGACAACTGCAACCAAAAAATAGCTGGGCATTGTGGTGGGTGCCTGTAGTCCAGCTACTTGGGAGGCTGAGGCAAGAGAATCTCTGAAACCCAAGAGTTGGAGGTTGCTGTGAGCTGTGATGACACAGCACTCTACTGAGGATGACATAGTAAGACTCTGTCTCAAAAAAAAAAGAAAGAAAAGAAAATCTATGGTGGTAAGCCAAACCAAGTATTTATGAATTCTTAAAGGTAGGAATAAAAGAATAGATTGATAAATGGAGAAATAAACCCATATATTTAGGAAGTACTAAATATAACTTTTTTTTTTTGAGCTTATCACTTTCTACATGGCCACACCTGGCCGCAGTAAGACTAGAATGTGGTTTTCCTTCTGCCATATGCCCAGTGTTTCTCCATAGGCCACACTGTTAGTATTGGGAATAGGATATTTCTTTATTGTAAAGGATTTTCCCTGGTAAAGGATTTAGCATCCCTGGCTGCTCAGCACTGAATTCCAATAGCACCCCCTCAGCTTGGTCACATCTAAAAAATTCTGCTTATATTTAACCCCCAGCTATAGGAGAGAGAAGAGGGCGCATGCTGGGAGGACCAAAAGTATCTTCCAGATAAACCGTGTATCCTACATTTGGGCCCTGAATCTTCTACCAGTGAGCAGAAATCACAGCTCATAGTCTCAAATGGAGTGTAATCTAGAAGTATTTTATTTTATTTATTTTATTTTATTTTATGTTTTAGTGACAGATCCTCAAGCTATAGCCCTGGGTAGAGTGCTATTGGCGTCACAGCCCATAGCAACCTCCAACTCGTGGGCATAAGCAATTCTCTTGGCGTCAGCCTCCTGAGTAGCTGGGACTACAGGTCTCCGCCATAATGCCCGACTATTTTTTGGTTGTAGTTGTCATTGTTTGGCAGGCCCGGGCTGGATTCAAACCCGCCAGCTCTGGTGTATGTGGCTGGAGCCTTAGCCGCTTGAACTACAGGCACCACCCTAGAAGTCATTTTAATTTGACACCAGAGTGTGGGTATGTCTGATACTCCTTGAATTCACGTTACTTTCAAAGATATGATGTGCCTCCACCATGATGGACTGAGCTGAAAATGGTTAGATTTCTCACCCAGACTCTCTGTTCTCCATCCCCTTCCTTCCGATCAGTGTAAGTTACACACACAAAATCAAGCTTTCCTCTCCTTTTCCAGAGGTTTTGACTCTCACCTCCCCTAGATAGGAGAGGTAATTCCATAAGCTGTTTGAAAAGGCTTCCTCCTCTAGCTTTAGTGAGCAAGAAGGCGGAGGTCACTTGTTCAAGGGAGAGGAAACAGTGGAAGATGCACAAGCCGCTGCTGTTGTGGGCAGAGTGAATGGGTTTAAAGACTTCTGTTCTCATCCTGCCTCTGGTTTATAATCTTCTGCCCACATCTCCTACCGGTCCTTGGGAAGAGAATGACTATAGCAGTAATCATCCCCATTTATTGGGTGATGGTGCTTTTTATTTGGTACCATGGCAGATTCTTTGCATGCACTATCTTATTTAATCTTCACAACAGGGCAAATGCTTTACGATCCTCACTTTTCAGAGGAGGAAACTGAGGCTGGGCAAGGTGAAGTCACTTGCCCAAAGCGTCACATGTCATAAGTGGTCACTGCAGACTTCTGAATGTGGCTTTGTACTTCTGATTCCAGTGTCTGTTCCTAACCACTTTCTTATTCCTGAGCTCTAAGCCAGGTTTGGGGAATTAGGTATGTGATTAGGGAAACCACATTTACAGGGGGCCTACCCTGTGTTCAGTGCCTTATGCAAATACACATATTATCTCACTCCTCACACCCTCTGCAAGGCCAGTGTCACCGTTCCCTATATACAAGGAAGAAAATTAGTGGCCGGGGAGCCTCCCCTTCTGCCTTCTAGTCCATGAAAGTGAAGACTGTGGTTCCAAAGCCTAGCATGGAACAACCGTCCTTTATGGTTCTGATGGGCTTGGGAATGACAACTCTAAATAAAGTGTTTTTGCCCAACTTTATCTCTGGCAGATACTACCCGAGTGGAGATGCCTTTGCTTCAGGATCAGATGATGCTACGGTATGTTTTTAAGTTACTGAGAGTTTTTCCTATTCAAAAGACAGATTTGTTAATTTAATTATTTAAAAATATTTTTTTCTGGTTACAGAAGTAGTGTGTATTCATTGAAGAAAATTGGGGGGGGGGCAAATTAAATTACCTTAATCTTCTTACCTAACAGAAATCACAGTTGGATGATTCCCTTTCAGTCTTCTTTATTTTTAAACAAAATGCTATATAATTTGCCTTTTTCACTTAGCAACATATTGTGAATATTTTTTCTTGCCAATAAATACTTTCTCCATTGTATTTTCTTTAAGATTGAATAAGATTTCATAAGTAGTATTCCATGTTTGAGATATGTATCAGTCTATAATTTTGAACAGTGTTAACTTTAATCAAGAGTGTTTTTTTTTTTCCTGTTAAAAACACTACTATAGGGCAGCACCTGTGTCTCAGTGGGTAGGGCACCGGCCCCATATACCGAGGATGGCAGGTTCGAAACTAGCCCCGGCCAAATAGCAACAAAAAAATAGCTGAGTGTTGTGGTGGGCACTTGTAGTCCTAGCTACTCAGGAAGCTGAGGCAAGAGAATCGCCTAAGCCCAGGAGTTGGAGGTTGCTGCAAGTTGTGATGACACGGCACTCTACTGAGGGCGATAAAATGAGACTCTGTCTCTAAGGGAAAAAAAAAAAAGCCAGGCGTGGTGGCAGGTGCCTGTAGTCCCAGCTACTCGAGAGACTGAGGCAAGAGAATCATCTAAGCCCAGGAGCTGCAGGTTGCTGTGAGCTGTTACACGATGGTACTCTACCAAGGGCAATAAAGTAAGACTCTATCTCAAAAAAATAACAGAAGCACTACTATAAGTAAATATTTTTTACCTCTTCCTCCAATTCTCAAACATAACTTGCAAAGCTGAAAATAGATCCAGTTTTCAAGATTTTGATACTAACTATAAAACTATGTTAACTTGTTTTTAAAGAGAAAAAATATTTTCCTATTGCCCCCAAAATATCCAATATCTTATTAAATAACAGTTTTCATTCTGATTTGCTGCTATGGAAGAAATAAGGAATAGATTAAAGAGTTTTGGTAATAATGAAATGTAAGACTCTGTAGGTCAAAAATGTATAACAAAATGTAAGAGAATACATTGTTTTGGGGTTTTTTTTTCCTGAGACAGAGTCCCACTATGTCACCCTCAGTAGAGTGCTGCAGTGTCACAGCTCATAGCAACCTCAAACTCGTGGGCTTAAGCAATTCTCTTGCCTCAGCCTTCCAAGTAGCTGGGTCTACAGGTGCCCACCACAACACCTGGCTATTTTTTTGTTATAATTGTCATTCTTTAGCAGACCGGGCCAGGTCCGACTTGCCAGCCCCAGTGTATGTGGCCAATGCCCTAACTACTGAGCTACAGGCACCAAGCCAAGAGAATACATTTTGGTATAATTCTCGCCACGTGTGTAACAGACCAGGTGGAAATCCTGCAGAAATGAATGAGGTTACATAATCATGATGAGCACCCCAATAAAAAAGAGGGTAAAATTCAGACCATATAAAGCAGTAAATCCAAAATAGCAAGTAAACACCTGTAAATGTTTTCAAAGTCACCTGTAGTCAGGGAAATGCAAGTTTAAGTGATCAGATGCCCATTTTTGCCTCTTGGATTAGCAAAGAAAGGCCCAAGGCTGGAGTTGGCGAAGAGCCTTGGATGAGGCTGGGGTCAGGATCATTGGTACCACTCCTCTAGAGGGAAGATTTGCTGTATGAATCAAGAAAAAAATCCCTCCCCTTTGGTCTGATCCTGTGCTATTTCTTGGGAACAGTTCTATTCTAAGGATTCTACTCCTTAGCTATTCTAAGGAAGATATCAGATATGTATAAAGGTTTTTGCATAAGAATAATCATCATAATGTCTGTAATAGAGAAAAATTAGCCACAATAAAAATACTTAACAGGGTATGACCAGATAGATTTTGACATATCCACATGAATAATATTCAACAAACACGTAAGTCTGTTTTTGAAAATTATTTAATAATGTGTGAAAATGCTCAAACCTATCATTAATAGAAGCAATAATGAAACATCTATCCCATTTACATATACACATACCATAGAAATACACCTGAAGGAAATAGCCCAGGCATTAGTAACTATCTCTTAAGATTTGGGGTAACTTTCATTTCCTTCTTTATGCATTTTTGAATAATTTTTTGATTTTCTGCATTAAACATGTATCCTTTCTCAGAAAAAAAGTGGTGTCTCATTTTTGTACCAGAATCTGTTTTCTGTATTTGCTGTTTCTTTCTGTCTATATCGCTGATCTACAGAGACTAAGAATTGTGACTGAGGGATCAGATAATAGGAAAAATTAACAAAGGGGTATTTCCCTTATCCCTAAAACGACACAAGCTTCTGGCCCTGCCTATAGTTCTGTGGTCATCTCATTACCAAACTGGAATCAAAGGTAAGAGTTTCTCTGTCTATTTATTCATACCCTAGTGTCGTCTCTATGACCTCCGGGCGGACAGGGAGGTTGCCATCTATTCCAAAGAGAGTATCATATTTGGAGCATCCAGCGTGGACTTCTCCCTCAGTGGTAAGATTTCACCTCAGAAATGTTCCCAGGACCTGAATGAAACCCAGGGCTCTATCAAGCTTTCCATCACCTAAGCTTTCTGTGGACCAGTATGCTAAATAATCCACATCTGCATCACTGTGCCCTCCCACTTGGCCCTGCTTCCTTCAGCTCCATTCTCTCCAGGGGGGTGAAGGCTGGACCCTCACTTAGGCTGCCCTTCAACAGTGATATGTCTGAACTTCACCATGTGCAATGCCCAAAGGCATTTTTTCCCCAGCTTCCCTTCTCCTCTTCAGACATCCCAGAGCAGGTGAAGCCAAGAGTCCTCTCTCAGTGCACTGAAACTCCTGGCTCCTCTGGCCCACAGTTAAGGCCAAGCCTACAGGCTGGGCCACTGGACCACTGAACCACTCCATTTCCCCAGACACAGCCCCATTCTGTACCTTCCTGTGTGCCATTGCACGTGATGCTGTTACTGCTGCCTGGAACATGGTCTCCCTGCCTCCCCTGCCTAACAAACTCCTACTCAGCCCTCAAGAGCCAATTCAAATGTCAGTTTGATTTTACCTCTTTAAACTCAAGTTTCACAAGTTGTTAACTACTAAGGGACTAAAACTATGTTTGTGTCTGCAATGCCCTCCCTGATCTCCCTTCCTGGCCCCCTAGCACTTCCATTGTGGCGCTTATCAGGTGATGCTGGAGTGATTTATTCCTCTCTGCCCCACGTCCTCCCAAAGGAGGATCTTCTCTGAATCCTCAGGGCAAACTATAGGTCAAGGGAGGTGGCTCACACTTGTAATCCTAGCACTGTAGGAGGCTGAGTTGGGTGGATTGCTTGAGATGAGGAGTTTGAGACCAGCCTGAGCAAGAATGAGATCCATCTCTACTAAAAATAGAAAAACTAGCCAGGCATTGTGGTGAGTTCCTGTAGTCCCAACTACTTGGGAGGCTGAGGCAAGAGGATTGCTCAAGCCCAAGAGTTTGAGGGTGTTGTGGACTATGAAGCCGCAGCACTCTACCAGGGTGACAGAGTGAGACTCTGTCTCAAAAAAAAAAAAGAGGTGGGGAGAGCATAGTGCCTGGTGTACAGTGGGCCTAAATCACTGTTTATCAAACAAATGAAAAAGAGAATGAATGAGTAAATGAGTGAGTGACAGACACAAAAAAGGGAAACAGGAAGGAAGAAACTGGCATAATAATCATGTCACCTTGCTTCCTTCAAGGTCGCCTGCTATTTGCTGGATACAATGATTATACCATCAATGTCTGGGACGTTCTCAAGGGGTCTCGAGTCTCCATCCTGTTTGGACATGAAAACCGCGTTAGTACTCTACGAGTGTCCCCCGATGGCACTGCTTTCTGCTCAGGATCCTGGGATCATACCCTGAGAGTAAGAGAGGTGTTCTCCTGTTTTCCTGTGTGTGAGAGGAAGAGGTGATGGGGCTTCTGGAGCAGAGGAGTCTGAGTAGGCAACATGGGCCTGGCCAGCCAAACAGAGCTCTGGTCTCAGCTCTGCCCACAGCTCAGAAGGAACGAGGTACCTGGGGAGATAGTGAGTGTCCCCCATATAAGTGTTTGAGCACAGAGTAGGCAACACAGTGTCATGTAGTTGAAGGAACAGTTGGGCTTAATGATCCAAAAGATTCCTTTTGTTCCCAGACATCTGATTTTAAGATTCTGGCCTTTGTCAAACCATAGACAACCAACCTCTTCTCCCTGGAGTGTGGCATTCCAAGGGTCACAGAGCCCTATGAGGCCCATTCTAGGAGGCCTGTTAAGCCCTTGAATTTTATGCCAGATTTTGTGTGTGTGTACATTTTTCCAGGAAAAGTGCCCTCCTGGCTTTCATTAGATTCTCAGAGAGAGCTCCATGACCTTGCCAAATGTTGGCTGTCCCCAACACCACCAAAGTACCCTGCTCATAAAATCAACTTTATTGCTTACCTCAGTGTGGAAGATTACAAACTTGGCAGTGGCTTAGTAGCATCTGAGATGGGAGAGCAAAGGTTTGCAGGTGTTTGAGGTCTAGTTGGAGGCAGGTCTTTTGATGAAGGGACTTATTTAGGATTGGAAAACTTGTGGCATAATACGGTTTTAAGATTGCTGGATACAGGATTAGGGGGAAGAGGATTTCAAGGAAAGTTTTGAAAAGTAAACAGTTATTTGCTGCTCTTTATTGGATCTTTTCGAAGGAGTCTTTTTTGAGTAGTCTAGTTTTAGGATAATGAGATAAAAAGATTTTTTGTGAAGTTCTTGAAATAAAAATGTTATCTGTGAGTTCATCTTCCTGGGGAAGAGTGTCCTGAATTACCAAAGTCAGGTCAGTGCACACAGCTGCAGGGCACAGAGGGTCGGTTCTCAACCTAGAGTTATCAGCGTCTGATAAGGAGACTACAGATGCCCTACCAGGGTTCACTAAGGGAGAAGGGAGTCAAGTCCAGAGCAGCACCTTTGAGTTGCTAATGTTATCCTTCTAAGGCTTGTGAGTGCCCCATTTTGGATGGAGTGCTTGTGTGCATGTGTGAATAGATGGACTTTATCTCTTTAAAGTTTTACAAGTTATTAACTACTAAGGGACTAAACATTATCTGTTTGTATCTTTACAGGTCTGGGCTTAATCATCTTCTCCCAATGTATGCGTACATACCAGAGGATAGAATCTGAAATATTCACATGTAAATAGATAATACCTCTAGAGGAGTTTAAGGCTTACTACAATTTAGCTTAAGGGAGCAACCCCACGGCCCAGAGTTCACAAAACATCTCCACTATTACTATCAAAACTGCCACCCCTAGAAATCTCCCAGTGGGAGCCTTCAACACTACAAGAATACCTTCCAGTACAGTATTTTTTATTTCAAGCACTCTTAAAAATGTATCATTTTTCATGTTGTTTTAAATTATTCTAGTCGCAACTCTTTCTGTTACCAATAGAAGTAAGCCTTTAATATATTCCATATGATTTCTTTGAATGAGATTCCTTTTCAGAGCACTTTAAAATCTGATTTTTCTTGATGTGCACTGTGAAGTTTGGAGCCTTTCTCTGGAACTGTTGGTTTAATGGACTGTATAAAGACTGTTAATTGTCTATGATAAAAGAAAATTCCAATTCTGAATGTCATTAGACAAAATTACTTTTGTAAAATGTGTTTTTGTTGTAAATCTTTTTCAGCCTCCTGTCCTCCTGTCTTTTTTTCAGATAAAGCATTTTTGTTTATGTGAACTGCTATAAATGAAGCAGAGATGGACAGGACATTTGCTTTGCAAATTATGTGGTGGCGTATCGCTGTGTCACTTGGACAGGGCATTTTCTTTAAATTGAGGGCAAAGCTGAATGCTGTTTGTAACATAAATGCTTCTGAGAGCAAGGAAAACACTTCTGTGTGGGAACATGAGACAGTAAACTCATTTAAAAACCTCTTAGTAGTATTAGTGGAAATGCTTAGGTTGAAGTGAATCTTGCCCGTATAAATTATATTTATGTATTGCATTGCAATTGTAATTACATATGCAGATTGATTGGTAGGTCTTGAATGATGTCGTTGTTCCTCTTATGTTGAGAGAAAAAGAATATAAAAAGAATTATCTTGTCTTTATCTGAAATTCTGTAAGTCCTTCTGAAGATACCAAGTATTTTTTGTTATAGGATTCCTTCTTTTCCTTTCTCTTTTTTTTTGAGATGTAGAGAGTTATTCTACATCTTATTCTTTCTGTTTTAGAAAACTCCTCATTCAAAAAGATGGGGTGAGGCTGGACGCAGTGGCTCGCTCCTATAATCCCAGCACTCTGTGAGGCCAACGAGGCAGGAGGATGACTTGAGGCCAAGAGTGTGAGACCAGCCTGGGCAACATAGAGAGACTCATCTCTATGAAAAATTAGCCAGACATGATGGCGTAAACCTGTAGTCCCAGCTACTTGGGAGGCTGAGGCAGGAGGATTGCTTGAGCCCAAGAGTTGCAGTGAGCTTTGATGACACCACTACACTACACCTTCAGTGACAGAGGGAGACCCTGTCTCTTAAGAAAAAAATGACAAAGCCCCACAACAATGGCATACATATTACTTAGGGGACTAAAAGACCACCTCAGACAATAAACATTCCTGGGTGGGGCTTGCTTTGTGGGTGGCCCAGGACTGAGGGCCAGGACCTTGCTGCACCAGAGAACCACCTGTGCCACCTCCCCTGAACTGTCTGGTCTCTTCTCTTTGTCCTGCTCCAGCCCAGTACTCTCCTAATAGTAGCTCTGGCTTTGTAGGGTCACCCCCAGGCCCTGCTTCTCAGAGCGGCCTTTCCAGTGCCAGAGCCAGGGAAAGCCATGGGGCAGTCCTGCACCTGGCACAGCCTTGGGGTGGGCCAGGCCTGCCTTCAGAAGTACCTGTTCATGTATCATGATGGGCCAGTCAGTCAAAAATCAGCCAGCCCAGCTTTTCCATCAACTCATTTTAAATAAGCCATAATAGTTATAGTCAGTCATTTGTGGAGGAGTTACTGAGGGTTTCATTATACACCAGAGAGAGAAGGATATAAGGTCTCACCTGCCTCGAAGGAACCCAGCATTAGGGAGGGAACATATTCCAGAGGGATTAATTTTTAGCACTGATGGATTCTAACCTGGGCAGGGGCTCAGGAAATAGGCACGGTGTCTGCTCAACTCCTGCCATCTGCCGAAGGGGCCCAGGCCATAGAGTCTTTCCAATGGAATTTCCCAGCTCTACTCCAGAATGTTCCAGAGTGACCCCTGGTCCAGCTGGCTGCCTTGTGGTGGCCTCCCTGTCATTCTAGCAGACCTTTTTGGTCTCTCTTCTGGCTCTCGGAAATCACAAAAGCTAGGGCAAAGGAAAGGTCTCCTAGACTAGGGGGAAATTGAAGGGTCTGTATTTGGAGGGCTGGAGAGCATCTTCAATGTATGTGCAAAGTAGCCCACGACTTTCTAACGGAAGCATTCCATAGAACACTTTCACTTTCCCCGTGGGCACTGAGCCTAAGTTGTTTAGTATATGTTGATGAGATATTTGATGAATATACTGCACCATGTGGAGACTCAAGGGTAAACTCCAAGCACTGTATTTGGCATATTGAAAAAATGCTGAGTGTAGTTTTATAATCAACTCCACACCCAGTTCCCTCTTCTTACCCCCCCCTTCACACTAAGTGGCTTAAAGGCAGCACTAGGTGGTAAAAGCCTTTACATCTCAGGCCCTCCCCCCTCCCAAAGGATGAGGACCCAGGTTCAGACCCAGCTTTATTGCTTTCACAGGACATATGATGATATCTAAATTCCTCTCAGCCTCAGTTTCCTCATCTATGGAATTAGACAGCACTTAAGTGTGACGTGGCACGCTCCCTTGGCACAGCTTCAAGAAGGGTTAATTCCCTGCTTGTCCCTCTGTCATTCCCCAGGCCCTTTCCCTTCTTACTCCTGGGGCCCCTTCTCCCCTCTGTCTTTTCCTTTCTCCTTTCTATTTCCTCCTGGGTCCCATCCTTCCCCATTCCCTTTTCCAACTCTCCTCTCCCCCATCGCCCTCCACTCCCTGTCCCACCTCTCTCCCAGTCTCCTCCCAGCACCTTACCCGCCCTCCTCTCTCTCCTCCCCTCCTCCCTGCTCCCCCTCATGGGCAGTCCCTCCCCACTCATGTATCAAATTAGTAAATACCATCACAGAGATTCATCTAGATAAGTGGTTCTCAAACTTTGAAAGCATCCTCCCTCTACTCTCTTAAAAACTATTGCAGATTTGTGTGGATTATATCTATCATTATCTGTGGCATTAGAAATTAAGACTGCAAAAAATTATAAAACAGAAGAACACAAAAGCAGACAAGCAGACGTTCCATTAGCCATCAGAGAGATCCTTTCGCCATACACCAGTACTCTCTGAGAAACTCCAGAGAAAATGAGAGTTTCAGTATTACTTTGTTTTTTGTTTGTTTGTTTGTTTGTTTATTGCCCTTGGTAGAGGGCTTTGGAGTGACAGCTCATAGCAACCTCCAACTCCTGGGCTTAGGTGATTCTCCTGCATCAGCCTCCCAAGTAGCTGGGACTACAGCCATCCACCACAACGCCTAGCTATTTTGTGTTGCAGTTTGGCCGGGGCCAGGTTTGAACCCACTACCCTTGGTATATGGGGCCAGTGCCCTACTCACTGAGCCACAGGCACCGCCCTCAGTATTACTTTGGAAATAAGTATGGAGAATCCTCAAAGAACTCAAAGTAGACCTTCCATTGGATTCCACAATCCCATTATGTGTTTCCCTTAAAATAAGACACTGTCTTATATTTATTTTTTCTCAAGGAGACACACAGGCTTATTTTCAGGGGATGTCTTCCTCTCTGTGCTGAAATGCATGGCATGGCTATGCAGATATGCTGCATAGCCACACCCATCACTAGGTCTTATTATCAGGGTAGGGCTTATATTTAACAAATGCATAGAAATCCTGCTAGGGCTTATTTTGGGGGTAGGTCTTATTTTCAGGGAAACACGGTAGGTATCTAACCAGAAGAAAAATATCATTTCATCATAAGGATATTTGCACTAAATTGTTTATCACAGCTCAATTTACAATTGCCAACATGTGGAATCAACCCAAGTGCCCATCAACCCGTGAATGGGTTAATAAACTGTGGTATATGTGTACCATGGAATACTATTCATCCATAAAAAGATGGAGACTTTACATCTTTTGTATTAACCTGGATAGAGTTGGAGAACATTCTCTTTAGTAAGGTATCAGAATAATGGAAAGCAAGTATCTAGTGTATTCAATACTAATATGAAGCTAATAGACAAATTAATACCCACACAAGAAAAAAATTCAATTTCATTCAAATGGGAGAGGAAAGAAGGAAGAGGGATTCGTGTGCTCCCACCTAATGGGCACAGTGTAAGGGTATGTGGCACACCTGGGTGAGGGGCACTACGACAGGGACCTTGCCTGATAAACACAAACATTGTAACCTAATCGTTTGTACCCTCAGATCAATCTGAAAAAAAAATTTCAGTTATGAAAATAGTTCTGACCTTGAGGAACCCCTGAAAGTGTCCTAGCAACTCTGGATCCTACTCTGAGAACAGCTGATCCAGCTTTTCCAGCCCCTGTGCGAGACTTCCCAAGACATCAAGGCCCTAGGAGGAGCTTGGAAAAGAAGCGGGAAGAGACAGACTCGGGTAGTTGAGGAGGGAAGCCTCAGAGGAGGCTTTGGAGCAACGAGGGCCTGCAGAGGAAGTTGCTGAGGGGCACAGAGAGACGGTAGGAGGGGCTGAAGACAACTGGGCCCTGTGAGCTGCTAGAAATATTTTCAAAGGAGGACATCTGGGAGCCTGGGGTAAGCACAGCACATAGGTTAAAAGATTAAAGTAGGGCAAGGGTTAGGGCCACATTGCCCCAAGCCTGGGAGAGCAGACTAAGCCAAACTCATCCAGTCACTAACAGGCCCTTGCCCTGGAGATGTGGACTGGGTAGGGGGAGATGCCAGGAATTCTGATGAAGTGTGGTGGGGAAGCCTGAGAGTGAAGCTAAACCTCTTATCCTCTCATCTGTGATAGGAGAACATTGAGTCACTGTTCAGGGCATGCCACAGACCCCTGTTCCTAGACAGGACTTAGCTGGGGCCAGGCTGGCCTTCAAAGATGGCTGATCTCCACAGGGGACTGTAGCCTCCAGGGCGATGCCTCAGGACCAATGCAGTGAAAGAAATGAAAGATTTAATATGTTTGCATCATTATAAAAAGGATGAGTGGGGAAGGTTAAGGGTTGGTTAATGGATACAAAGTTACAACTAGATAGGAATAAGTTCTGGTGTTCTACAGCACTGTGGGTGACTATGGGTAATTTATCATATATTTTCCAGTAACTAGAAGAATTTTGGATTTTCCTGTCAACCTAAATAAACAAGAGAGGCTCTATAAAAGAAGATACTTATTTGGGAATTGGGCATTGCAATGGGAATGTGTATGCCATAGTAAACCATGTATGTATTCAGGGAAGTAAAGGATAACAAAGGTTTTTAAAGGGAAAAATGAGAATTACATAATTGAAATAATTATTTGTGGCTACAAAGATCAATAATGGGCCATGCCAGTGTGAGGTTGGACAGCCAGTTGCTGGACAGATGGCCTTGCAGAGATATTTGCGTATGGTTGCAGTGGCCTTTGTGCAAGATGATATTTTT